TCCAAAAAGGATGGTGGGATGGAGGATGTTCTGAATCCATTCATGTAGATTGAGGTGAGAAAAGGAATTTGTGCAAAGCCCCCATCTTGTGAACCAGACCATCCTAGACAAATGGCAAAGGAAGAATAGATGCGTGGTTGTTTCTGGATATTGCTGGCATATGGGGCAAAGGATGTCTGGTATAGAAAATCTGCTTGCTAGTAAAGTTTTAGTTGGGAGACACTCTGTAGTTAATCTCCAAATGAATATTTTTGTGTCTTTCATGAATAAAAGCCTGTCATAATCTCTTCCAATCGTTTTTTGCTAGGTAGTGACTTTGTGAATCTTGTACAGCTTTATAAGATTTGTAGGCAGACTTGCAGTCAAAATTCCCATTCCTGTTCGATATCCACAATAGCTTGTCTTTCCTCTGAAAGGTTGGGATATGAATTCTTAGTATAACATGAATGGTTTCTTGATTGAACAATGAGGATAAGAGAGTTATGTTCCAGCTGTTGGTGTCCTGGTCAATTAGTTCAGATACAAGGCTGGGAAGATTCTCTGATTCCTGTTGAAGATGGACTTTGAATGTTGGCAGATTAGGAACCCAAGGTTCTGTCCAAATATTTATTGATTGACCATTCCCCATCATATAGCAGGCACCTTGCTCGATGATTGGTCTACACTCCAAAATTTGTTTCCAGATTTGAGAATCTTGTGGTTATTTACTGGTGTAAAAGAAAGAGCTTCTAGAGCAGTATTTCCTGCTCAACTGACTGGTCCATAGCTTGTTTGGGTTGGAAACCAATTGTCATCCTAGCTTGGACATTAAAGCTTTATTCATATCAGAAGTTCTTCTGAAACCTAAGCCTCCAAATTCCTTAGGTGTGCATAATGAGTTCCAAGATTTCAATGTTAGTGTATGTTTGTCCTCAATATGACCCCACCAAAAATTCTTGATTGTTCTATCCATATTGCTACAGAGGTGTTGTGGCAATAGGAAGGATTGCATGGCATAGATTGGCATTGCCAAAGCTGTTGACTCTATTAAAGTTGTTCTCCCTACATAGGAGAGTAATTTGGATTTCCAACCCTGCAGCTTCATCTCAAGCTTTTGTAAGATTAGTTGGAATGATCTTCTGGACCTCTTTATGAAAAGAGGCAGTCCTAGGTAAGTAGCTTCCAAAGATCCTTNTTGTTTCTGTTACGATCTGGAGTTCAGTTCCTATAACTAATCCATCATAAAGTCTGGCAATTGCTGCAATAGATGAATTCTTATTCCCCACAGCTGCATCAAAGTTAACTTTTGTAATTCCTTCATGAGAGGATCTCCAAAATTCTGGTGGTTTTTGGATTGGTGGGGCCTTTGGATGGATTTTAACTTCTCTAAACTCATCAAAGGTCTTCAAAACTTATTGGAGGAATTGATGTGGAATGACTAGCTGACTATTATAAAGAATCTTATTCCTCCAAGTCTATGTACTATAAGTCAAGACAGCTGTGAATAACAACAGTTCAGAGTAAGGAGGGCTATTGGGTCCAAAAAGGATGGTGGGATGGAGGATGTTCTGAATCCATTCATGTAGATTGAGGTGAGAAAAGGAATTTGTGCAAAGCCCCCATCTTGTGAACCAGACCATCCTAGACAAATGGCAAAGGAAGAATAGATGCGTGGTTGTTTCTGGATATTGGTGGCATATGGGGCAAAGGATGTCTGGTATAGAAAATCTGCTTGCTAGTAAAGTTCTAGTTGGGAGACACTCTGTAGTTAATCTCCAAATGAATATTTTGTGTCTTTCATAAATAGAAGTCTGTCATAATCTCTTCCAGTCGCTTTTTGCTAGGTAGTGACTTTGTGAATCTTGCACAGCTTTATAAGATTTGTAGGCAGACTTGCAATCAAAATTCCCATTCCTGTTCGGTATCCACAATAGCTTGTCTTCCCTCTGAAAGGTTGGGATATGAATTCTTAGTATAGCATGAATGGTTTCTTGATTGAACAATGAGGATAAGAGAGTTATGTTCCAGCTGTTGGTGTCCTGGTCAATTAGTTCAGATACAAGGCTGGGAAGATTCTCTGATTCCTGCTGAAGATGGACTTTGAATGTTGGCAGATTAGGAACCCAAGGTTCTGTCCAAATATTTATTGATTGACCATTCCCCATCATGTAGCAGGCACCTTGCTCGATGATTGGTCTACACTCCAAAATTTGTTTCCAGATTTGAGAATCTTGTGGTTATTTACTGGTGTAAAAGAAAGAGCTTCTAGAGCAGTATTTCCTGCTCAACTGACTGGTCCATAGCTTGTTTGGGTTGGAAACCAATTGTCATCCTAGCTTGGACATTAAAGCTTTATTCATATCAGAAGTTCTTCTGAAACCTAAGCCTCCAAATTCCTTAGGTGTGCATAATGAGTTCCAAGATTTCAATGTTAGTGTATGTTTGTCCTCAATATGACCCCACCAAAAATTCTTGATTGTTCTATCCATATTGCTACAGAGGTGTTGTGGATATAGGAAGGATTGCATGGCATAGATTGGCATTGCCAAAGCTGTTGACTCTATTAAAGTTGTTCTCCCTACATATGAGAGTAATTTGGCTTTCCAACCCTGCAGCTTCATCTCAAGCTTCTGTAAGATTAGTTGGAATGATCTTGTTCTGGACCTCTTTATGAAAAGAGGCAGTCCTAGGTAAGTAGCTTCCAAAGATCCTTTTTTGATCCTAAAATCTGTTTGATGGGCTTGATCAGGGAGTGCTGGGCATTTGGGCTGTAGTGCACTCTGAATTTCTCATAGTTTATCTACTGCCCAGACCATTGAGCAAATGTAGAGAGATAATTTTTGATAGTTGCAGTATCTTTCTTGGTGGTTCTTGCAAAAATGAGGAGGTCATCTGCAAAAATTAGATGACTGATAGGTTCGCAGCTTCTTGAGATTTTGATGCCTTTGAGATTTCCCAGTAATGTTTTCTTGTGAATTAATCTAGAAAGAATTTCAGTGCAAATGACAAACAGTGAGGGTGAAAGAGGATCTCCCTATCTAAGACCTCTTTGGGCATGGAAGTTTCTGAGGGGTCCCCTATTGATCAGGACTGAGAATGAAGCTATGGAGATACATTGTTTAATCATATTGATAAATTGGTCAGGAAAACCAAGAAGCTTAAGAACTTGCAGAAGGAAAGACCATTCAACTTTATCTAAGGCTTTGGCAATATCAATCTTTAACATCATTAGAGCACCTTTCCCTTTTTTCTTTTTGAATTGATGAACTATTTCTTGAGCCAAAATGGTGTTCTCTACAAATACCTCTACCTTGAATAAATGCAGTTTGGTTTGGAGAGACGATTTGGTCTAACAGAGGTCTGATCCTATTGGCAAGGATTTTGGAAATGATCTTATAAACAACATTACACAGACTAATTGGCCTATACTAATTAACTGTGTTGGCCTTTGTGGATTTGGGAATGAGACAAATATTGGTTCTATCAATTTCAGACAGCATGTGTCCTCCAACAAAGAAGGACTTGACCATATCAAATAAATCCCCTCCTATGGTATGCCAATATGTCTAGTAAAATATGGCAGACATGCCATCGGGACCAAGGGCTTTGGTTGGAGGCATTGCAAAGAGAGTTGCTTTAATTTCTTCTGGTGAGGGTATGACACAAAGATCCAGATGTTGCTCAGGAGTGATTATGGGTGCTATGAGGTCATCTAAGTGCTAGGGAAAGTGAGGATTAGATGTTGTGAAAAGTGTTTGAAATTACTACAGGAATTGGTTACCAATAAACTCCTTCTCTGTGATCCATGTTCAAGCAATCGATTGAGTTCCATCTACCTCTGATGACCGTGGTGGTGTGAAAGAATTTGGTATGGGCATTTCCTTCTTTCATCCATTGGATTCTTGAATTTTGCTTCCACATCTCCTCCTCCCTTCTGAGATGTTCATTAAGATCATGCTGCAAGATTTTCTCCTCCACTATATTGTCTTCAGTTGGTTCAGCTTGTTGTAGATAATCAATTCTGCTCCTTAGTGTCTTTGCCTTATGGATACAGTTTCCAAATACTTCCCTATTCCAATGCTTTAATGCTTGTTTAGTAGCTTGTAGCTTCCTGCAAAACTTGTATGCTACTAATCCTCTTCTATTAGTCTTCCATGATCCTTTGACCACATGGTGACTACTAGGGTCCCTTATCCGCATCTTCTCAAATTTAAAAGGTTTGTGAAAGGTTTTAGGGATTCCAGATGTGTTCAGGAGGAGGGGGGAATGGTCAGAAGAAATAGATGGCATATGTCTAATGGCGGAATGTGGAAATAACATTCTCCAGTCAAGTGTGACTAGTCCTCTGTCCAATCTTTCCTTGATGTTTGCAAGACCTTGACGTTTATTGGACCAGGTGAAAGGGTTGTCGTGATAGCCAATGTCAACAAGTCCTTTGTCATTAATGAATGAACCAAAGCCACCATTTGATGGGGATGCAAATGATTTACCCTTTTTTTTCTCCTCTTGAGATATCACATTGTTGAAGTCTCCTATAAACATACTTGGTCATGGGCTATTCATGAGTATTTGATTCATTGAGTCCCAGAGAGCAGGCTGAATTCTTTTGTTTGCTAGAGCATAAATGCAAGTAAGCAACCAACTTGAGTCTGGAGGGTCCAAAGTAATCACTTATGATATGATGCTCTGGTTTGCAAGCAATACTTCAATCGCAACGCCTTTCCTCCAACACAAACATATTCCACCAGACAGTCTTTTAGCACTTTGTATCTCAAAGTTGTGGAATCCAAGGGTAAACAAAGTTTTTTTGGTTTTTTCTGAAGAAATTTTAGTTTTTGAAAGGAAGATGAAGTCTGGGTGATACTCCTTTATTTGAGCCTTCTAATGGCGAATTGTCGAGGCATGGCCCAGCCCTCGATAATGCCATATGTATCCTATCATGGTGAGGGTGGGAGCATGGTCAGACCCGCCTCCTTAGCCATTGAAATGGTTTCCTCTGTAACAAGAACTTAGGTCTCTCCATGGATAGTTGTGCTGAAGTGCGTTGTTTCCTTGATGGTTCTCTCGCATTTGAACTTCCTGTAAGGTTTCCTTTGAAGTTGGTGGGTGGGGTGAATGGGTGAGTTTTGATGTTTATCAATTTTGACTTGGTCATTGGGTTTATTTGTTTCAGAGAGCCGGTGAATATCTGTGGGCAGAGTTATCCAAGCATCAATGGAATGAGGTTTAACTTCAACTGGATTTGGACCCTTTGTTGGTATTGATAATCTAACAATTATACAATCATCTTTCCTATAGAATTTTGGTGGTCAGATATGGATTCCATATTCGAGAGCATTCCTTTTAAGTGAGAGGCGTGTGAAGATTATGGCCATGCATTCATCAAAAAAGGTACCTAGGTGAGGTTGTAGTGGTGTTTCTTGGCTTATGGTAAGGGATGAACTTGATTTTTCCTCCATTGGACTGTGTAGAGAAATGAGAGCTGGGACTTGAGAGTTATTGTTTAAAGCAAGTGATGAGGTGCTGCTTTCCTGCGTTGTTTTGTGCAGAGGGACAAGTTCCAGGCAAGGAGGGGTTTTGGAGAGATCAACTGAGCTTTGGTTTTTATTTTTGGGTATGAGTGTTATGGCCATTAGGTTACTGGGCATTGTTTGGGTTTTTGTGTCATTGGGTTTGACTGGTTCTGGGTTTTGGGGTGGGCTATCTATTGAGCTATGGTCATTATTAATTAGTGTGGTGGATGGGTTGATTCTTTCTTGGATGTAATGTGGGCCAGTTTTGGATAGGTTAGGGTTAGTTAGTTGTGTGATGTAAGTGGACTGTGGTGAGGGGGTTAGGGTTGGGGAAGGCATTGTGTCTCTTGAGGTGGTGTGGTAGGTAAGAGAAGAAGATTTTGTTGAAGAGTTTGTTATCAAGGGATCCAATGGGTACGTACCACGTGGCGATTCCTCTGTAGGTTGTGATTCTGGACGTGAGTGCGCCGACTTTGCCACAGGTGTTCCATTCGTTGTACACGTGCCAGAATATGTTTGTTGTTCATTTTTCGATGCTAGCGACGAGAAGGTTGGTTCATGCGCCACTACTGCAGATAAAATTATTGGTTCACGAGCCTCCAATTCTGGCCATGATTGTGGGTTTTCCAATGAAAGTTGTGAGGTTGATGACGCTCCTGGATTTGCTCGAAGCTGGGGACCATATTCCTTAGATTGATTGTTTGCTGGTTTGTGGTTGCAAATGCTTCTTTCATGTCCTATCCTCCCACATAAATAGCAAAAATCCCCTAATCGTTCATACTTTAGAAGTATGAGTTTTTTCCTTCCATGGTTGGGCATCCAAAAGTGGGTTCTAAGAGGTTGTGTGAGATCGATGGTAACATGGGTACAAATATACCCTTTCCACACTGTTCCTTGGTGCATCTGTTGAGGAGAGAGAGCTGGAGTGCCTAGTGCTTAGGCTATCTTGAAGGCATTTCCAAGCGTGATTAGATCAGGGGATAATCCATGTGCTTGTATCCAAAAGGCTGTAGAATTGAATTCCAAATCCGAAATGGATCAATTCCCAGTCCACGGTAGAATTACCATCAGCTGGCCTTTAACTGTCCAAGGGCTCATACGGATTACCTTTTGTTTGAGATCCTTGTTCTTGAAGATGAAGATGTAAGTGTCTACTTTGCCATCCTGGATGCTCATTTGTTCCCCTATATTCTAGGCTTTGGAGAGTGTTTCCTTCACCACATTCCAATTGATGTTTTTGGACGAGAAGATTTTTCCTATGAGGCAAGCATTCTGTACAAAGTCTTTGGTATTCACATCAGATTCTAATGGGATGAGAAGCGATTGCAAGTGGGAAGGCTGATTTTCTATTTGTGAGGAGTATCTGTGATTAGTCCAGCTGAATAGAGTGGGATGAGGTGATGAGTGTTGGTTGGGTGAGTAGAAACATGGTCAACCTATGAGGAACATGGAGAAAATGTAGAAGAAGAATGTGTTGTGGTGACTGTGGAGAAGTATGGTGAGTAATAATGTTTCAGTCACTGGTGTATTGTTCCATGGATAGCAGTTAGAAGAGGAACAATGGATAGATGGGACAGTGGGAAGAGAGGCAGTGTCTGTGGGTTTTGTGGAGGCCCTTATGGAGGGGAGGGAGGTGGGAATAAGCAGATTGTTGAGAAACAATAAGTGGAGGTAGTAGAGTTTGATGTCCAGAGGTGGTGAGTATGGAACTCAGGGAAAGACGTCATGGAAGGAGAGGGAGGTGGCTCTATGCAGAGAGAGCGGTTGTCACCCATTGACCATATATATATATATATACACACGTATATACGAATATATATATATATATATACTTGTTGCTAAATCTCTTATCTAAATTTTGAATTATCTTTAATGCACCTTGATTTATGCATTTGTTTTTTTTGAAAAGTGATTTTGTTTTTAAATTATATTTAATGCACCTTAATTCAAGGGTTTTTTTTTTTTGAAAAATTATTTTATTTTCAATAATTTAATATCCGAATAATGTAATAGTGTAACAAAGATAGTGTAACAAATACATTGTAACAAAAACAGTGTTCAGCAGTTTTGTGTATGTGATAACAAATTCAAAACAAAAAACGTACTATTTTGAATGAAATTATATGAAACTATATATTTGACAAAATGTAATAGTACAATATTTTACGTAAATAGCTTGTTACACTGTTATTGTTACACTATTACACTATTCAGATATTAAATTAATTTGAAAATAAAACCATTTTTCAAAAAAAAAAAAAAATTCATGAATCAAGGTATATTAAAAAATAATTCAAAATTTAGATAAGAGATTTAACAACAAGTATATACATACATACATACATAAGTATTTATATATGTGTGTGTATATATATATATATAATGCATGAATCATATATATATAACGCATGAATCAATGTGCATTAAAATATAAATTATATACATATACGTTTTTATATATACATGAATACAAATTTTGAAATTCAAACAAGTATATAGATACGTATTTATATATATACACGTGTTTATATATACATAAATACATATATGTATTAAAATTATCCCATAAAACTAAGAGATGTTTAATGCACCACNCCACTGGTGTATTGTTCCATGGATAGCAGTTAGAAGAGGAACAATGGATAGATGGGACAGTGGGAAAGAGAGGCAGTGTCTGTGGGTTTTGTGGAGGCCCTTATGGAGGGGAGGGAGGTGGGAATAAGCAGATTGTTGAGAAACAATAAGTGGAGGTAGTAGAGTTTGATGTCCAGAGGCGGTGAGTATGGAACTCAGGGAAAAACACCATGGAAGGAGAGGGAGGTGGCTCTACGCAGAGAGAGCGGTTGTCACCCATTGACCATATATATATATATATATATACACACACACACGTATATACGAATTTATATATATACTTGTTGCTAAATCTCTTATCTAAATTTTGAATTATCTTTAATGCACCTTGATTTATGCATTTTTTTTTTTTGAAAAGTGATTTTGTTTTTAAATTATATTTAATGCACCTTAATTCAAGGGTTTTTTTTTTTTGAAAAATTATTTTATTTTCAATAATTTAATATCCGAATAATGTAATAGTGTAACAAAGATAGTGTAACAAAAACAGTGTTCAGCAGTTTTGTGTATGTGATAACAAATTCAAAACGAAAAATGTACTATTTTGAATGAAATTATACGAAACTATATATTTGACAAAATGTAATAGTACAATATTTTACGTAAATAGCTTGTTACACTGTTTATTGTTACACTATTACACTATTCAGATATTAAATTAATTTGAAAATAAAACCACTTTTCAAAAAAAAAAAAAATCATGAATCAAGGTATATTAAAAGATAATTCAAAATTTAGATAAGAGATTTAACAACAAGTATATACATACATACATACATAAGTATTTATATATGTGTGTGTGTATATATATATATAATGTATGAATCATATATATATAACGCATGAATCAATGTGCATTAAAATATAAATTATATACATATACGTTTTTATATATACATGAATACAAATTTTGAAATTCAAACAAGTATATAGATACGTATTTATATATATACACGTGTTTATATATACATAAATACATATATGTATTAAAATTATCCCATAAAACTAAGAAATGTTTAATGCACCACTTTTCAAAGAAAAATGGTACATTAAATACACATGGATTAATNGTGTTTATATATACATAAATACATATATGTATTAAAATTATCCCATAAAACTAAGAGATGTTTAATGCACCACTTTTCAAAGAAAAATGGTACATTAAATACACATGGATTAATGAAGGGAAAAAATGTCACAAAAAATCAGTAAAATTCAAATAATGTACTTAGACACAAATAAGTATCAAAATTAAGGACTTAATTACCTAAAATTTTTTCTATATACTTTTTTACAATTAAGTCTAATTTAGTGTATCTTCTTCCAATTTTCCTTTGATGGGGGTAAATAGGATGAGGTAATGCTGGATCAGGATACTAGCCCAGCCCNCATTTTTTTCTATATACTTTTTTACAATTAAGTCTAATTTAGTGTATCTTCTTCCAATTTTCCTTTGATGGGGGTAAATAGGATGAGGTAATGCTGGATCAGGATACTAGCCCAGCCCAGCCCGACCTGCCCCGACTCATTGAAAACGCTAATGTGGAGCTGTTTGTATAACAAAGGAATTCATTACGGCCTGTGAGGTTAACCACATATATATTAACTCTTGGCTGATCATAATTAAAGGGCCCAATCCCATGATATGGTTTTGCCTTTGACATTGATTTTAAAAGTTGCAACTGTCACTATCATTTTTTGCGACAAACATTGTGTAGACATAACAGTGATTTATAGAGACAAATCAACTTTTTCCAATAGAATAGAGGAAAAACAATATAATTTATCTTTAGAATCAAGGATTTCCNGTGATATGGTTTTGCTACAAACATTGTGTAGACATAACAGTGATTTATAGAGACAAATCAACATTTTCCAATAGAATAGAGGAAAAACAATATAATTTATCTTTAGAATCAAGGATTTCCAAGTAGAAGTGGTAATGGGGCAGCTAAAGGGATCAGTGATCGACCAAAGAGGTGTAAAGACACAACAGTGATTTACATAGCAGAGGAAAAAGAACCAGACACAAATATTTCTGTCTACTCTCTTACATAACGAGCAAATACCAAAATATTAATTTTGAAAAAAATGCTAATCTACCTATCCATCTTCTCAAGTTTGTGGTTTCCATATACCCCTTGATGAAGAAGAGTGTGTTATCTTTACAACTTTCTGTTTGGGTTTCTTTTGCTTTCTATGGACATATTGTTGAGGACTGCTATCTACTCTCACTACATCAACTTTCACTATGTGATGATCAGAAGTCCCTTTTGAAGAGTAAACTGAGTATGAGCCGGGGATGAACTTGTACTGCGAATCTGATGATGCCAATATGTAATCTACCCGAGTCCCATACTTGCATGTCCCCTGCACACCTGCGTTACAGACCAGTTCCAAGTCATTTTCAAGAGAACAAAAACAAAATTTAGTTTATTATTATGCTAATTTTAGGCAGAAAGCACAGGTTTCATACTTTGTCCTTTGGCGATCATGACTACAGACTCACATTCCCCTGCATAATCCTTACCATCTGTGTATTTTTGACTCTTTAAATATTTCATCACCTCAGCCTTTGGTGTGGGCTTTCCCATCTCTTCATAATACTGAGACATAAATATGAACAACCCCCAGATGATAAGTATGTGCTATTCTATGGCTGATTCCGCAATGAACTTTACATTTACCTTTACAATGTCTGTCCATCTTTCTAATGAATAATCTGTTTCGTCAAGGGAATTGAGACCGCCAGCCAAAATGTGAGGCCCATTACTGGATTGCATTATTGCATTTATTTGCTTCATTCTCCAGTTCTCATCTAGATGATCAAGGTGGGTGCAGTTGAAATTGACTTCTCCTACCTGGGGAACATCAATTGTGGCCCTCAGAACATTCCTGCATCCCATGGTAAACACAAGGAGATTGGGATATCTTATGTTTGAGCAACATTTTGTGGTTCTATCAAAATGTAATTTGTTCATTGTGAGCTTATAATTTGAACGAACAACTCAATTTAAGCTAAAATTCTAGCAATTATTCTGCTTTTGAACTTCTCACACACAAGATTTCGGAAATTAGTCTTTAACTAATGTCATTAAAATACAGAGAGTTGTCAGAAATAGTTACAGTAAAATGGAATAAAAGTATCTTGCTTGCATTACGAAATGATCAATTTTCATAGAAACAGAAAATGGGTGTAATGGACAGACCTCATTTATGTCGCATGATGTTACTCACTCGACTTTGATGATTTTTATATCCACTGTCTATAATCTATACAAGATCAACCAGTAATGAAGTTTCTATATTTTCTTCTGAACTATAGTTAATACCTTTAGCAACAAACCCCGATAATCGGATTCAGTAAATTACCTTACCCTGGATCCATCCGCAAAATATAGGAACAGAATTGAAACACAGAATTTTCAGCAATTGAATAAAATTGAATTCAAAGATGGTATGTCAAAATTTGTCAAATAACTTACTGACTCACACACATACACACAGAATATGGTAAGTTCAAGGACTGTTCCATTACATAGAGAGTCTGGACGTCAACTTCCTTGATGAATATATTGAAACCAATTTCAAAATTCTGGTAAAAAAATTTGGGATCTTAATGAGGGGATTATTTACCATAAGGAATCACAAGAACCGAAATGATAACATTAGAAAGAGCGAAGAAATAGGTGGACTTTCAGTTCTGCCACAAAGTACACATCATATCTTGGCAGGCCCACTTTTGACAAAGGAAAAACCAAAGCACTTTCACAGGCTGTAGGAGACAAATTGAGCTTCATGTTAATAATTAATATACCACACAAGAATTACCAGATGGGAAGAATATCTCCAGAAAATTCGAAAAAATTCTGTTATTAGGTAGAGAAATTTGGATTTGGGAAAATACTTGTCATATGTAAGTATGACAATCTCATTTCAAGCTTTGCAAAAAATCTTTTAGACTTTCTAAAAGGTTTCAAGAATAATTCTGAAATAGTTCCACAGATTAAAAAGTGATAAATTAATGGATTTTTCGAGAAAGTGATCAGCCATTTTCTGAGATTTATTGTAATTTGTCTCGTTAGCTAAAAACTCAGCATTGAAACAGAGGAAAAACAGAGGAATATGTTTTAACTAAAAAGTTTTATGGGTGAAGACATTGTCAAAACCTGAAATCAGTGTTGTCANGTGTTTATTGGACAGTAGAGAAATGTCTTTTACTATAAAGCAACAACAACTCCCCTATCCAAATCTTTTACCCATAAAAAAGAAGAAAAATACGAAAGAAAAAACAATTTCCTAATCCAGTCAATTCAAGAAGGATTCTTGTTTGGAGCGCCATGTCACCAAAAACACGGCGTACAAAACTCCAATGCATCCCATAAGGTGCACTCCACGCAGCTAGAAAAATATTCTTTTAACTTTTCGATGAAAATATCATATAACTTAATAAATCCCACTGAAATTCAAAATATTCTTAAATAAAATAAATTACTATAAATATAGATTTAGAACTTAGCCCAAGGGGAGCCTAGCCCAAAAAAGTCAAATTTTCTTTTCACTAAAAAAATTTAAGCTGAGAGAAGAGAAAATCTATCTTTCTTCCTTTTTCTATATTATTTTCACTATAGTTAATTGTCATCGTCATATGTTAAATTGTTGANACAATTCACCATTTGGATGAATCGCCGCCGAACCATTAACTTTGGTTTGACTTTTTGAGTCATTGGAATTGGATTTTCCAAACTTTTTGATGATAATCTTGGGCTTGGGACGGCGGCGANCCACTAAAAAAGTTTAAGCTGGGAGAAGAGAAAATCAATCTTCCTTCTTTTTTCTATATTATTTTCACTATAGTTAATTGTCATCGTCATATGTTAAATTGTTGATATATATTGATGGGTACAAGTTGACCACAACCCACCACCATTACCATCACCATCACCATCACCATCACGAGAGTATAACGAAAAGTCCAATACCATATATATGATGTAATATAAAATAAAATAAATTTTAATAAATTCATTCAATAATCTTAAATAAATTCATTCAACAGTCACCNCACCATCACTATCACGAGAGTATAACGAAAAGTCCAATACCATATATATGATGTAATATAAAATAAAATAAATTTTAATAAATTCATTCAATAATCTTAAATAAATTCATTCAACAGTCACCAATATTCCTCTCAAAATTATTGACATTACACTATATCTTTAAATACGAGTTACCCTTATTAATTAAATAACCTGACCTCCATTATATTTATCAAAAAAAAAAATAATTTAATACAAAATAGGAAAAGAAATGACACATTATATTGAATGCATGTCATGTTTAAGTTGCATCGCATAAAAATTTATATTGTCAATATACGTACCACCTATTTATAAATTTATATGATTACACTTGGATCGCTTATAATTAAACTCGCGACAATTAATTTTCTCAACGAATTTAGTCGATCATAATTCAAATCTATTAAAACTAAATTTATATTTGATAACTCCATGCCAATTTATTAAAACGAAATTTATATTGGAATATTAAGAATAGTATTAACAATAATAATACTAGCCGGCCAATTAAGCAAGAGTAAATAATGGGTGTAACATAAAACCAAATAACTANAATTAAGAATAGTTTTTTTTTTTTTTTTTTGGAGGGGGGAATATATCAAGAATAGTTAGTTCGATTATTTCTTTCGTGATCACTAATCAAGACGTCATGAAACACGAACCCATGGAAACCTGTAGTGATACACGTCATCACAATAATAATAACTAGCCGGCCAATTAAGCAAGAGTAAATAATGGGTGTAACATAAAACCAAATAACTATTATCACTTAATGTTATCATTTTGTAATAAACTAATAAGTGGANTATTAAGAATAGTATTAACAATAATAATACTAGCCGGCCAATTAAGCAAGAGTAAATAATGGGTGTAACATAAAACCAAATAACTATTATCACTTAATGTTATCATTTTGTAATAAACTAATAAGTGGATAAGGTCAAATCCAACTTGGTAGTTATTTTCATACATGGGGTGATTATCAAATGAGATAAAAGGGTGATTACTAAAATATATAAGATTTATTTATTGAGTTATAATATTTTTATTAAATTGTGAGACTACGTGACGATAATATCGTAGTGTTTCTCTTTTTTTGACTTCGAAATTAAAGAATGAGCCAAAACCAGTAAATGAAATCACCACATAAGTGTTTTGTTAGAGAGAAGCAAGTCATGAAACACGACCCCATTCAAACCTGTAGTAATACACGTCATCACAAATAATAATACTAGCCGGCCAATTAAGGAGGACCGCTGTCCCTATGGTAGAATCTCTAATGTAGAGTTTTATTCCAGAGGGGCACTTATGTAAATTCAAGAAAGAGAAGAGCACATAATCTTTATTTGGATCTGTATAATACCAAAATATATATTAGATAAATTATTGCAGCAGCAGGGCCTCAAGAAGTTGACAAAAATAGTAACGAAATTGGTTATATATCTGTAGAGGAGTACTCATCTCTAGGTCACCTATGATTTGTTTAAAGATTAAGTTAAGCTGGATTTGCCTTCGTCAAACAAGATGCCAAATGCATGGGTTTAGTCCTTCAAATACTTTATATCCCACAACTATGCCAGCTCTTCTCTACTTTGCTCGTGTGTATGCTTATGCCTGTCAGGGGGTTCCCCCCCCCCCCCCCCCCCCCCCCCCCCCCCCCCCCCCCCCCCCCCCCCCCCCCCCCCCCCCCCCCCCCCCCCCCCCCCCCCCCCCCCCCCCCCCCCCCCCCCCCCCCCCCCCCCCCCCCCNCTCTCTCTCTCTCTCTCTATACCTATCTATATAGATATGGACATATAAAATAAGGGTGGTCTGGCAGTCACCTACCAGCAGTATAACTTAAAGACTCTAGTTGATACTAATCCACATGATTGCCGTATATAGCCTTCCAAATAAGAAAGGTTGATATTAAAATAGCAGTGAGACCATCATGGAAAGAGAGAACCATTTAATAACCACAGAAGAGGAGAGACAAGGGTTTTTTAAGTCTTACCAGAGAAGGAAACTGGATCTGGACTTCCAGCTCATAGTTAAGTGAATGTTTGTAATACTGGAATCTCAATCTCAATTATATGATGAGTGGTTAACTAAACTGTATATAATTTGCTGTATCTCACATGGATATTTCAGTAGCTGCCCTGACTCCAATTAATCCTCAACTCATCCTGCAATACACCACATCATGAGGACTACAATAATCGAGCAAAGATTCTTTCAATAACTCTGAATTCGACAGCTAAAAAGGGAAAAGGGTGTTAGCCTTTTCTGCTGAAGCATTTGTACTTGTCTTGATTCTGTGATGCTTCTAAAAGAGAATATACATTCAAAGGCATAGAGTAGAGAGTAAGTCCAGCCAAGCAAATGAAGGTAGTTGACAGGGTATGATTGCCATCCTATGTAAAACCGCAGTTTATTAATTGACAAAAGGGCTTTGGATTCTTTTTTTNAAGCAAAGATTCTTTCAATAACTCTGAATTCGACAGCTAAAAAGGGAAAAGGGTGTTTGCCTTTTCTGCTGAAGCATTTGTACCTGTCTTGATTCTGTGATGCTTCTAAAAGAGAAAATACATTCAAAGGCATAGAGTAGAGAGTAAGTCCAGCCAAGCAAATGAAGGTAGTTGACAGGGTATGATTGTCATCCTATGTAAAACCGCAGTTTATTAATTGACAAAAGGGCTTTGGATTCTTTTTTTGACCCCCCAATCCGGTTCAAAACCATCACAAAGTTATCAGTTAAAACCATTTATGGGTGTGTCATCACGAATCCAAGTAAACATAGGTTATACACGACATCTTGCGACGGAGCCCGTAACGGGGTTGTA